CCAGGTATGCGTGGTACCCAAGTAAGAGAGTATGAAAGTTTTAGGGGGAGAATTGCAAACTCGAGTACCAGGAAAGCTAAAAGGCTGAAATTTTACGGGAATATTCCCTGTCCAAGTACAACTTAAATATTTCAGATCCAGCCCTCATGCATGTTACTAAAGTAAGGGCGTATGAAAGTTTTAGGGGGAAAATTACTAATTTGGGTACCAGAAATCATGTTACTTAAGTAAGGGCGTATGAAAGTTTTAGGGGGAAAATTACTAATTTGGGTACCAGAAATACCACTTAAGGGCATATGAAAGTTTTAGGGGGAAAATTACTAATTCGAATACCAGAAAAGTTGGAGGACTGAAATTTTCAGGGAATTTTCCCAGCCCATATGCGACTTAAAGTTATCAAACTCAGCTACCAGTCATCCGTGGTTCTCATGTATGGCCCCCGTGAAATTTTTTGGCAGGTAAATGACTAACTCGGAAACCAGAAAAGCTGGGAGGCTAAAATTTTAAAGGGATATTCTCAGCCTGCATACAACTCAAAAATTCCAAACCCAGCACCCACGAATTCTCCTAGGTCACGTGCGGCCCTGTGAAAGTTTTGGTGGGAAAATTGCTAACTCGAGAACCAGAAAAGTTGGGCAGGCTCAGATTTTAGGCGAATATTCCCCGTACAAATAAAACTTAATTCTTCAAATTCAGTCTTCATTTATGCGTGATTTTCGTGTACGGGCAATTAAATTTCTGACGGGAAAATTACTCATTGAACACTTGTATTACTTTCAAAAAACACTGGCACACGGAATAGTTCATTTCTTTTTATGCAAAATTTACGATAATTATCGGCATTAAGCACACAAGGCAGGTGTGAAGAAACAACCGTTCATGCAGTTAACCCAATTCAAGTTTTGTGCAAAAACGCATGATCGCTCCGGCTACGCCTGGTGGCGTTCCGGCCTGGGTTTGCATTTGCATACACGCAAAAATGCATGACAACCACTCATACAGTTAACTGATTTAACTTTAGTACAAAAAAGCATGTTCACACTGGCGAGCCCAGTTTTTGAAGTGTGCATCGGAAGATATACGGGAACCGAAATGTGGAAATGTAATGTACCTTGGAACTCTGT